AGATATGCACTGCAAACCTATATTCCTGCACTGTTCTAGAAGCTATGGATTCAGAACAGACCACAGTTTTCTTTTCTAGGAAGCACATAGTCAAGTAGTAAACTAAGCAAACTATACACAATACGCTAGCAATGAAAAGAAAACATTACAAGGAAAAGGATGCCACTTTATACAAAGAGGTCAAGGAAGGCCTCACTTAGGAAATATCTGAGCCACCTGACGTTAGCAGAGATTGATTGTATGGACTCTAGGAGTAGTGTTCCACGTAAGGGAAACAACAGATGCAGACCCTGAGGTAGGAAGGTGCCTGGCGTGTAAGAGGACAGCAATAATGACAGGATGGTAGCAGGAGAAAAATGCAAGGGACGCATGTGAGAAATGAGGACAGAGAGAGGATGAGGCCAATCACTTGGTTTAGGGTCACTCTAAGAATGAACCTTGAGCAAGGAGGTCAAAACCATGATGGGGAAACCCACTGAAACAGTTTCCCTGAGTTAATGGGAGCTCACCAACACCAGCCAGACAGAGAAGGAACCAGCATAGGTCCAAACCAAATCCTCTGAATGTGGGTGACAGTTGCATGGCTAGGGCAGACTGTGGGGCCGCTGGCAGTGGCACCAGATTTTATCCCTACTGCTTGTATTGGCTTTTTGGGAACCTATTCTCTTTGGATGAATACCTTGCTCAGCCTAGATACAGTAGGGAGGGCCTTGAACTTTCCCCCAAAGCAATGTGCCTTACCCAATCTGAGGACTGGATGGGGGGGTCGAGTGGGGGGGACAGGTGGAAGGAATAGAAGGAGGGGAGGGAGTGGGAACTGGGATTGATATGCAAAATGAAAAAAGATAGTTTGTTTTCTTTTTAAAAAATAAAATAAGAAAAAGAAAAAACCTAAAGGGGTTACAGAGATGGCTTAGCAGTTAAAAGCACTTGCTGTTCATTCGGAGGACCTGAATTTGGTTCCCAACACCCACACCAGGCAGCTCTCACACACATGTAACTCCAGTCCTGGGGAACTGACACCCACTTCAGAACTCTACATGTGTGCACGTGCATAAGCGCACACACACAAATTAGTAAAACATGTTTAAAAGAACTTTGTATTTCAGCCAAGAACTAAAACTAAAGCTAATGAATTATTTTTTTAATATTTATTTATTTATTATGTAGACAATATTCTGTCTGTGTGTATGACTGCAGGCCAGAAGAGGGCACCAGATCTCATTACAGATAGTTTGTGAGTCACCATGTGGTTGATGGGAATTGAACTCAGGTCCTTTGGAAGAGCAGGTAATGCTCTTAACCGCTGAGCCATGTCTCTAGCCCTGCTAATGAATTCTTAAGGATGGATAGATGAACATTAAACCAAAAAAATTCAACTTTCACAAAATCACGATATAATAAGAAAAAAAAATCCCAAAACTTCACTGTTTACCTACTCTGGGTACTGGGTATGGGGGGGGGAAGAATTCTCAACAACTCAAAATCACTAAGATCTATGATTTATCAGAGGTTCTCATGATTATCTAGTCTGAGCTCTCAGTCTTGTTACTGTGGTAACTGACCGAGAAGTTGCAGTGACTTCCTGGTAGACCTAGTGTTAACTTTGAGCTTTCCTGGCTTCCTATTCCATGCTACTCAGGAGCCCCCGCTGCTCTGGATATGCAACTGGGCTCCTCTCCAGGCTCTGGGTAACTGTGTGGTAGCTCTCTTGGTCTCTGAAACCTCTGTAAGTTAACAAGGAAGAAAAGCTGCCACCACCTGGCATCTCCGGACCCAGCCCATTCCCAAAGTTCTTCAAGACAACAAGCAGGTAAGGAGGAAGTATCTATCCTATAGACAGTAAGAGATAGTAACACAATGTGCTCAGTAATGTCAGGTGTGTCAGGCACCATGAGATATGTATTTGCCCACCACCCTTTGCCCCCACTCCTGAACACAGCACTCCCTTTCTAAGGCTCTGGTGGGGCTATAATCATAATATTCTAGCCACCTACTGGTCACAAACTGGAACGGACATATGGCCTAGCCAACTAAAGAACCTTATTCCTAAGATCACAACAAAGGCTTTGGGGTCCAAGTAGAAACAGGTCCACCCCTGGGGTTTTATGGATGGGAGCTACAGAAAGACATGCCAACCCATTAGTTATGTGAGCCAACACACATATTTTGCTCTGGGTGGTTCATAAATTACTATTACTTGTAACCAAAGAATTTAGACTCTTCCAGGCACTTGCACACCATCTCTCATTTCATCAGTCAAGTGATCTTCTGAAGTGGCTATCATTCTTAGAAAAAGGGGAACTGAAGTTAAGTAACTTCCCGACTTCACACAGCCAGAAAGAGATTCAAATCCAAGCCTCATGAACTATGAGCTCAAGAAGAAGAAACTCTTTGGCACTGAAAAATCGAACAAGTTTGTTTAAAATTATTGGGGGGAGTGAGTGATGATTCAGTGATTAGGAGTGCTCACTGCTCTTGCAAGCTCAGGTCCTAGTATCCAAGTCAGTCGGCTTACAACCACCTCCAACTCTAGCTACAGGAGATCTGACGTCCTCTTCTGGCCTCCCGAAGGCACACCAATGTACATGGTACCCAATCAAAGAGGCACACACATACACACACACAAAAATAATTGTTTTTAAAGATTTAGGTGGATATTTAAGATACAAAAACAGAGGGAGAAAAACACTGAACTAGCAAAGGAGGGTTGGTTTCTACCTCTGGCTCTAGCACATGTCCCCAGCTGCAAACACTTGGAGCCAGTCACTGCATTTGTCTGAGTGTTGTCTTCCCACCTATAAAATAACTAGTCTGAAAAAGATGAATTCCAGACCCTTTAAAAGTCTGTTCTGAAAAGTCTAAGTTCTGCTTAGGTATGCAATCAATTTTTAACCAATTGCTGGGGAGGATATCAAGGAGATTTCAGCTTAATGTCAAACCCAGCAGTTGGTAATGGCTCTGAGAGCACAGTGTTGAGGGGTTCTGAGCCACAGGACCTACTGGGAAATGAGTGCTGGCTTCTCTGGTCAGAGGCAGCATGGAAGAATACATGCATAGGTTTGACATGTTTGCCGTTGCTGATACTTCCCTTCAAACTCAGACGTGCTAGTGCTGCTATCTTTCCACCACTCGGACTGCCTGAACCTTTGAAGAATCCCATCTCTAAGGATCTTAAATGAAAAGAGTTGAAAATATATTTTTGCCACTTGGGGAGCAGTTCAGCTGATACCAGGGCTCCCTCCCCACGGAAGGAACATAGCCGAACAGTGCTTCTTAACTCTGCTGTTTCCAAATCTCCTATTCCTGAGGACTGAAAAATCTGTGCAGTGTTAATAAACCACTGATTTCAGGAAGGACCTTCACGCATCAAAACTGTGATGTCCACACTCTGTATGAGAGCAACCTTCGCAACAGCTTGGCCAGACTCAGGGTAGAGAGGTAAGGACACCTATTCTCCCTTCCTCTCACTTCACCTGAGACATGCCCCCTTCACTGTGATACATGCAATAGTAGGAGATGTGATATAGGATATATATGATGGAGCCAGTGGAGTTGTTGTTGCTGCTGCTGTTGTTGCTGGGTTTTTTTATTCTGTTTGTTGCTTTTGAGCTAGGGTTTCTCTGTGTAGCCCTGGCTATCCTGGAACTCACTCTGTAAACCAGGCGAGCCTCAGACTCACAGAGATCCAGATCCACCTGCCCCTGATTCTTGAGTGCTGGAATTAAAGGCGTGTGCCACCACTGCCCAGTGCCAATGGAGTTTTAAAAGTCTGTTTCAAATAAGAAGAGACCATTTTGTAGGTAAATAAACCTAGAATAAGTCTAGCTAACAGTTAACATGGTCAAGATAACCATGCGGTTTCCTGGGTCTTCTTCAGAACTTCACTGTCCACATGATATTGGAGTGTCTAGAGGGCAAAGTTCAAACTCTGAACAGTGATCTCCAAGTCCTTCTAGATCTCCCTCAGGCTGCCACACCACTCTTATTTGCTGAGTATCCCACATTCTTATGTTCATCAAACTAACTTAAGTCAAGCTGGCACTACCTCATACCTTTATGCATGCTGGTCTCTTTTCAAGAGAGCCCATTAGTTTATTCATCAAAAATTCCATGCGATGTGTTCTGATCATATTTGCTCCTGACTGGTAAGTGCCTTTCAATTCTTCGGACTTTAGTGTGCGTTTCTTAAAAGGGGCAAACAGACTGTATATGCCTACGGTGCCACAAAAACACCCACCTTTAGCATTTTAGATATAACACAAACACCATCTCTCTTCTTTTTCCTGTTTAGTGAAGGCAACAGTCAACTATTTGTTCATTATTCATTCAAGGAGCATTTACTAAGCAATGTTGTTAGTCACACATGCAGAGATAATGTCAACGCTTATGAACCCAACGTTCCTACCCTTGAGAAGAAACTCCCTACTTTGGCGACAAATGAAAGCCAGTTGTGTTCAGGGTACAGAACGCAGTTTGGGGACAGTGACACTAGGTGTTGGTGAAAGATTATCCTAAACCAGTCTCAGGAAGTACTGAGTACTACCTACTACCAGAGGAGAGGATAAAGGAGAATTCAGCTGATGGTGGGATTTTAAACCCTATGCGCAAGAAGAGGCCCAAATATGTACACTAAAGGGGCAAAGATAGAGAGGTGAACGTTGCGACCGGAAGCGTAAGGACTGTGGGAACTTTTCACTGGCACTCAAGTCAACAGTGACGGCAAAGACACTGCCTCAAAACTTTCTATAACACGACTAACCAACTACCTCTGCAAGTCTTGCTTCCTACAGTGCTCGGATATGCGTCCCTCTTCCTTAGAATAAACCTGTCGCCGTCTCTAACCAGCTGTCGGCTCCGTGAGACCGACTCTTCTGTCTCACTAAAGACTCCCTCTCTTCACTGAGGGCTTACAAGGTTGGGCAGAGTTTGGGGTCCAGGGTCCCGGGTGCGGATCCGCCCCCTTCTCAAGCTCGCCGTTTCCATAGCAACCAGCTTACCACTTCACGGGCCCGGCTGGAGAAGTCTCCCTTGGGTCGAGGGCTTCGGCGGAACAGCTCATCCCGGCTGCCATCGGCCCCGCCACCCACCGCCACTCCAAGAGCCTTGTTCCGTGTCTTCACCGTCTTGACACTTGCCCGGAAGAGGAGTGTGATGTCCACCGCCATGGCGACCCACACCTCGGCCAGAAGCCGGTCGGTACACGTCAGCAGCAGGCGACCCCGGCAAGAACCGGGTCGCTGAGGGGACGTTCCGCTTTCGCACGCCTCCTCCCGGGAACTATATGCAGAGAAGAAAGGTTCCGCTCTCCGCCCGCGTACCACGGCGAGTGGAGAAAGGTTCCGGCCTCAGTCGGGAACGCGGAATCTCCACTCCAGACGGAGACGCTCCCGTGTGTGTATCTGCACCCGTTTCTTTTCGTTGCAGACTTAGGAGAGTTCAGACACTCGGAAACTTCCCGGTGCTTTTAGAACTGGGGTTCAAGTAACGGCAAGTATCATGAAGCCAGGAAGATTGCTCCATTACGATTCTTTCTAAGGCGGGCGTTTGGTTGACAGGTGGGAGAAATACCACCTTTGACCTTTGGTGTCAATGGTTCCCCTTGAGCAGCAATGAACGGTGACCATCTGGGTCAGGAGCTAAGACAGGGTAAGTGTACAAGGAACAGAGTTAGAGGCCAGAGGCTTTTCTTCTCCAACCTTCAGCCCCTTCAGTAAAGCGAAGCCAGTGTCTTTCTTAGAATGCACAGAGAATTAAACAGAAGGCGCATATAAACCTTTTTCATGTTGTTTGACTCTTAGCACATGGCCATTAGGCATTGTCGTTGTTGATAATGTGGTTGCTCTCAGTCTTCTTACAAATGATGGGGAAAGGCTTAGAGCAGGCATCCCAGCGCAGAGATGAGGAGAGCTTGCAGGAACTTATCAGAGTCAGACCAAAGTGAAACAGACTGACCTTGATCCTGAGTTATGTTTCTCCTCAACGTGTAGTGTTGAACAATGCTCTCTTGAATCATAGTTATCACAGAGAAAGAAGAGAGGGGAGAGGGAGAGAATTGCTTAAATTGACTAAAGTCAGCCAGTAAGAGTTTTCTAAAGGTTTGGCTCATGTTCACTTTATTTTTATACACTTTTGACAAAAAATACAATTATACCACTTTCCCTCTTTCCCTTCCCTTTCCTCCCTCCAGCCCCCTCAAGTCCTCTCTGTCCAACTCCTTCCTTATTCACCTATTTAGTCTCAAATTGATAGCCTCTTCGTCCTGGATTATTATTGTTACTTATATGTAGAAGTATCATGGATATATAAGCCCAACGTGCTCAGTCTGTCTTTTGTTGTTTGTGTGTATATGGTTTCAAGGATAATCACTTTGTATTGGACAGCCAATTAGTGGGGCCATCCCTGGGATAGGCTAACTCCCCCTCTCTCAGCAGTCATAGTTGCCTATAGCTCTGTAGATTCTTGTCCAGGGTGACCCCGTGGTTCAGTTTTAATTTGATATGGACTTTTCTGGTTTTCGTTTTCCTTAGAAAGGACGCACACTGTGATGTATGCTAAAATAGGGCTTTTAACAGTCAGCGAGATGAAAAGCTAATCTCATACTAACCCTAGGATCATTTTGCCTTTACACTTGAACGTTCTAATCAGTTGTATGGTTGAGCTTTCCAGAGACGCTGATCTTACAATAGGCTAAATGCAGAGCAGCTGTCTTCCATTAAGCCAGACTTAAAAGAGAATTGCAAAAAATGCAAGTGCCAATTCTTCTTACCGAGTCCTTTATTGTTTTGAAAACTATTTCCTCTATGAATATGTTTATGTTAATATGTAATAGATGTACCCTGATTATTTTAGGTGAGTAAATATTTCTAAGTTGTCCATTTTAATTCAAATATAGTAACTATCAATAGATAAAAATTGATACAAACAAAAATTGTTTAAGACCCTGCATAATTTTGTAAGGATATAAAATTTTCCCGAGATCAAATGTTTGAGAACCACAGTATCAAGTACATGTTTAGAAGAAATATATGCCAAGGAAATATTCATATAACACAAAAGAAGTAAAAGATTATTTAACATCCAGAGTATAGCCACTTCATCATTACTGAAGAAAAGTGTCTATTCAACTTGAGGAGGAAGAGGATGTGTGTGTGAGTGTGTGTGTGCGTGTGCATGCGTGCATGAGAGGGAGGGAGGAGGAGGAAGAGAGAGAGAAAGAGAGAGAGAGAAAACAAAAGCTGTGCCAATGATTCTGCCTTTGCATCTTACATAAATGGTGCTTTGTTTTATGGAGACATTAATGAGTCTTTGGCTCTGCAAAGGTAAGCCTGGGGCAGAGTAAATGGAAGGAGAATTAAATTGCCTTGCATAACAAAGTGGAGGAGTTGAATTAGGGAAAAGAAGAGAAAGCCAGAATCTTGGAGGGATCCAGGAAATTAAAAAGTAGATAAGTGGGAAGGGGTTTTATATAGGAGGGACACTGAGCTCCATAAAATATTTTAGTGTGTGTGTGTGTGTCGTTCCTTGTAAGAGCCATGTGTTTGGTGCAATTAGGTATGAGTAGAGAGGTGGGGATGAGCCTCCAAGTTTTCTGGATGAATCTGTAAAAGCAGAGAAAGCTATAGTGGAGGTGGGCCCCAAGTGATCTCCAAACAGACTGTACAGCCTCAACTGGTAGTGAATACATAAAGCCCTTGACACGTTCCACAGAAAAGGTCTTACTCTGACTTTCTGACTTGTTTCAGTCTTCTTTGGATTTCTCCCACCCTGTAATGAGTTAAATGGTGTGCGTTCAGGAACTATGTCCACATCTAGGATTTCCCCGGACCCTATATTCAGTGAACAGGATATCTAGTGGCGATTAGAACACAAAGTTTACTTGCAATCAGGATCTGGGAATATAACTAAGTTACAGTTGCAGGTCTTGAGCAGAATGCTCTGAAAGACATCATAGGCCCTAAAGTCAGTAACAGTGTCTATATAAACAATGCTGACAAAGGAATGTGAAGACACAAACAACAGACAGATGTAGCCACATGCCTAGAAATGCTAACAGTGACGAGGAGCTGAAGAAGCAAGGGACCATTCTTCCTTGAGAGCCTCAGAAGTGTGTGTGGGTCTCCAGGACCGTGGGAAATAAATGTCACCAAATTTGTTGTCATCTGTTACTGAAACCCCAGGAAACAAATGCAAACCATAATTCCCTTCCCAGCCTCCCTTCCCAGCCTCCCTTCACCTTCTAGTCTTTTTGTGCCTGCCTTATTTAGTTTGAGCCTCTCTTTCAGCCCTCTGTCCCTATTTGGGCACTCATTGCCTGCAGACAAGCCATCCCCAGCTGCCTTGGGTCTGTGTTTTTCTTAACTTTAAATCCTGCAGCTACCTGCCTTTGTGTTCTCCTTTTCCCCTATCTCTGTGATCTCCCTACAGTCCTCCATTCTCAGAGAATTGCAGCTGACCAGGACCCCCATCCTCAAAGGAAGGCTAGAGAGAGAATGTGCCTAATCTGAAAGATGCCAAAGGGTACCTTTCATCGAATACTCAGTGACTAGGGCATCCAGTCGCCCACAGCACATGGCCCATGCAGCATTTGCAACATGTGTCTCAGCTCTTGCTGCCAGTTTCTCCTTTAAGGAATTTCTTGAATTTAAGAGGATTTGTTTGCATGTTCTGCAGCAGCCTGTGGCATCTGAAGTGGGGCTTGTCAATCTGGAAAGACATTCCACTTTGAAAGAAGAGATGCTTGTCACATACCCACAACCACTCCAAAGGTCAGTGAATGGCAAGCTTCACCCAGAATTGGGGGTGAGGAGGTGAGCCAACCCTAAAACAGTAGCATTGATCAAGCAGCCACTCCACAACAAGGGTCTCATCATAGGGACAAAATGGGTCCCAGGTGTTGTGGGATATTTGTAAGCTGTGAAGATGGATTGCTGTGATTGATGTAATAAAAAGCTGACTGTCCAATAACTAGGGAAGAGAGACATAGGCAGGACTTCCCAAAAGAAAGAGACTTCTGGGAGGAAGAAAGGCAAGTCGAGAGCCAGACACAAAGGGAGCAGGATGGGAGGTACAGAGTAAAGGTAACCAAGCTGTTGTGAGGAGCTGCAGGCCGCATTCCTGCCGCCCGGCTCCTGGCCACCAGCTAGCTTATGCCCCGAAATAATTACACGGAAACTGTATTCTTTTGAACACTGCTTGGCCCATTTGTTATAACCTCTTATTGGCTAGCTCTTACATATTGATCTAACCCATTTCTAATAATCTGTGTAGCCCATGAGGTGGCTTACCAGGGAAGATCTTAACCTGTGTCTGTGTCAGGTGGGAGAATCATGGTGACTCTCTGACTCAGTTTCTTTCTCCCAGCATTCTGTTCTGTGTACTCCGCCTATCTAAATTCTACCCTATCAGAGAGCCAAGCAGTTTCCTTTATTAGTTAACCAATGAAAGCAACAGATAAGATACAAGACCCACCTCCATCACCGAGCCACAAAATAGGACATGGATTGATAGATACGGGTTAATTTAAGTTATAAGAACTAGTTAGGAACAAGCCAAACCTAAGGCTGAGCTTCTGTAATTAATAAGTCTCTGGATCATTATTTGCAGACTGGTGGCCCAAAGATAGTCCAGCAAGAAAGCTTGCTACACCAGGTTCTTGAGTACGCTCCACTTGTTGTCCCAGGGCCATGTGGGTAGGTTTGCAGATAGAGAACAAATGTGGCAAGGCACTATCTGAATTCTGCCAGGCATATTGCAAGTCATCACCATGGGTATATTGACTCATCCTAAAGCTATCTCAACTAAGCAGGTCCTCTATCATTTTCACATTGCAAGACAAGGAACATAGTGACACAGTCCAACTAACTGCTTCAAAGTATGGTGGTCTTGCCATCAGCATTGACCTTGGGAAACCCCCCTTCCCTCTCCGGGAGATCCCTGTTGTCTCCTGCTACAAATAAGTTGTCTGGAGTGCAGGCCCAGCAAGGATAAGATGCTGTGACACACACACAACTTGGCACAGCTTGGAATTTAACCCTAAAGATGTTCATCTGTCAGAAGTCATCTCAGAATTTGCCACTCACAAGTCTTTACTGTGGCTCCGAAGGGTTGGTCCTTGAACTCCATGAACGCTCATGCTGGGAATCACAGCTTGAAGGAGAGTGACTAGCTAGTGACTGAGGGCGGCTGAGCAACCAGTGTCTGATGGAGTCCACATCCAGGCCCCATGCATGTGTGGGACCTGATGAACAG